TTCTCCAACCTCTTCACTTACACTCACACCTCAAAATCTCCTCTCCTCTCCTCTACTCAATCTGCGAGTCTGAAGGTTTAAAGGTCTGCAGCTATAACTATAACTATAGATTGTTTGATTTTATGATGGGTGGTGGGTTGTGTTATCTACAAAATACAGAGTGTGGTGTGGATGTGGTGTGAGTGTGAGTTTGAGTATAGATGTGGTGTGGATGGGTATAGGATATAGAATACTGTGTATGATTTTATATATACATATGTTTATGTTTGAAGTTCAATATTCGATGTTCAATATTCAATATTTGATTTGTAATCTGGTGATATGTGTTGTGATTTATGATATCTAGATACCGGTATGACTATGATATAACATTTTCATCTCGGGAATGAGTGGATGGATGGGTAGAGTAGATGGGTAGACGAATAGAAGTATAAGTAGAGTGTGATCTGATGTGATATTAGAATGAATAGAGTGTGATGTGATATGCTTGCTATGCTGTAATATAATATACTAATTATACTAATTATACTAAATATTATAGTTATAATTATTACTAGATAGTTATTGGTTATGCCAAGTGTCAAGTATCATGATTATTGATTTATGAGTATATATTCTAGAATAGAACTAGAGTATATTATTATTATTAATAGAGTACTGCATAGAGTACTGTAATAGAGTGCATAAAGTACTCATATAGAGTTATATATGTATATATATTAAGAATAGAGCAGTCAGTATACTCCGTTTTAGTAATAATAACAATCAAGACACGAATTCCCAAATACTATTTATTACTCGTAGAACCCATCCCATACCATCCACATCACACCACCACACTACACCCTCAAACTAAATCCAAATAAAATAAAAAGATCTAATCTGAGAAAACATTATAAATAATTCTTTACTCAAGTACCGGTATATCCTATCTTAATCTCATCCCTCGCCTCACCCAAAACTCAATATCAATATCTAGGTAATCTTCTTTTCCCTTTCCCTTTTCCTTCTCCTTTTCCCCCCCAAAAAATTGCTATTCGAAACTACTTCATCACTTTTTCCTTTTCGCTTTTCGCTTTCCGCTTACGAGTACATTATTTGACAAGTATTTCTATAAAAACACTTCCCATCAGAAGATGATTAAATTAAAATTCTTTACTCTAGCTCTAGCTCTAGCTACTACTCAGGTACTCAGTACTCGTAGATCATAACAAAGAAGGCTAACTAGAAAGAGCTAGATTCTAAAGAATCTAGAATTATCTAATGAAAAGGCTTCAAGAGCCTTAATGGCTACGAAAGGAATAGAAAGGCCTAGATACCTTGGCCGACAAAGAAAGTTTTCTCAAGCTCATTATATCACCTGATTTACGGTTTCACGACATAAGATGTGTAACACAATAATTACAATTAGTAGAGAGAAGAATCTCTTTTCAGTACTTTTTCTTTTGTCCCTATCCAAGAGATGACCTGGCTGTCTTTAGGTAGTTACTGTATCCAAGAGGTAGAGTAGAACCACGATATTATGATTGGGTGATGTACTCCAACCCTTCCCTTCCCTTCTCCCGAACCTCCACCTCCCCCCATCTAAAAAATCCCATTACTAGCACAAGTAAACGCGCCCCCAAAACTTCCACTATTATACCCATCCACAATACTCTGCACACTAGTATAAGTACCTGCACCCAAGAACAGCAACCCAATCAATATAATCAACACATTAAACGCCAGTCCCACTTTACTCGTCTTAGCCATCCAATTCGGTCCGTGATCAACCCGTCTCATGCGTATATAAGCGACGCCCCAAAATATAAATCCGAAGAAAGAATCGAAGAGTGAGGACATGAGAGATAGGAGATCGGAAAAGAAGGGGATTACTTCGGCGATGATGAAGGCGCCAACCCAGGTTACGGCCAAGATTCCAATCCAGACTGACCAGCCGGTGACGGTATGTTCGGTGAGATGACGTTTATTGTTGTGGAAGACGCGGAGCACGATGAAGCGCCCGGAGACAGAAGCGTAAAGTACGCCTAGGAATATGAGTGTGGGGATCATGAAGGAGAAGGAAATATCGACGTAGAGTTTATTGCCTAGAGATCCAAAGGCAGGGGCAGTCATGTATTGGTTTCCGGTATAGGCGTAAATGATTGCGCCGACTAAACTGAAGACGACGATTTCGGCAATGGTGACGGCCCAGAGTGCTTTGGGGAAATCGGCCGGGTCTTTCATCTCGGACATGAAGGATGGGATGGTGATTTGTCCAATGAATGTGTAGGAGATGTTGAGGAAGGCATTGAAACCCGCGACGAAAGTTACGCCTTTGACGGGGATGGCTGTGACGGTTGGGGCGCCGCCGAGGAGACCTGTTGCTGCGATTATTGAGGTAGGGTCTGGGTTGTAGCCGAGAGGGTGGGGTTCAATGGCTGCGAAGATGGTGGCTAGGATCACGGAGATGAAGGTGAAGATTGCGGATGCGGTGGCTAGATATGATAGAGCGCTGAAGGTTCTCGGCACTGAACATACCCAACAGATGATGGCGGAGATAATGGCGAATATTACTGTGCATTGACTGTGATTGGTGATAGTATTGAAATACTTTGCAGTAGTCAAAACATGAAGACCCTGATTTTGTTAGTAGTTGTAGTAGTTGTATAGAAATGCATGTAAAAAACATATCATACCTGAATAAAGGTATTATTCAAAAGAAACATGACAGCTGTAGCATGCCAAGCCCATCTTCCACCAAAAAGCATTTGTCCCACATCACAAACATCTCTAAGTTCCGGATGACGCATACAAAATTCCCATAAAACGAGAGACGTATAGAGAACCAAGAACGCAACCACCACAGTTAAAATGAGACCGGGTACCAGTCCCAAAATTGAGTAAGACCACGGAAATGACATAATGGCCAAACAGATATATTCGGAGAAAAGAAGCGCCGCAGTCTACAGTATGGATGAATTAGCGAGCAGTTCATGCGCAGAAGAGAAAAGTGTGTATAACCTCTTGCCAACTGCAACTCCGATATTTAATCGTCGAATCCGCTTCAGCCTTAATCTGCTTATTCAAAATATCATTTCCACTATCACTATCGATACTAGTTGAATCGGCCTCAACACGTAGATGTGGCAAAACGGGCCCAATTCGTGGACCGATGGTTATACGTCCAAATCCCCATGTACTGCGCCAACTGGGTTTCTTGTATGCGGAAAAGATGATTCCGCCAGGAGCTGGATCGTCGCTGCTGAATTCTCCTTTGGTTTCGTCGTTGAGGTCGTGGTTTGAAGAGTTCTCGGAAGATATGATGGGGGATGGGTTATTCATCGCCATTTTCGAGATGGGAAACTGGGGGTTGAGGTTAGTTTCATGTCGATGGAGGTTTTGTAATACAATGTCTGAACAATGGGAGGAGGATGGCGCAATTGTTGTACTGTCTCGCATGTATTGCGTGATGATGGGCGATGTGTGATGTGTGATATGGGATGAAGAACTTACTGAACTATTGGTGAATAGTGAACTGGGTGAACTGTAGTAATGCGAGCAATCCACATTAATGGCGGTATTGAATGAAATCTAGTTGTAGTGATCAATTCGAAGAGTGCGTAACGAGGATACTTGTCACTCGTACACGACTATTGTCTATGAAAGTTGTTGATTGTAGTGAGAAGAACAGAATGTCTAGATGATGAAGGAGAAGAGGTAAGAAGAGTCTTGCTCTTATTATTATTATAATTATTATAATTATTATTATTATTATTTTATTATTTTATTAAAGTACTGTAGATCAACAGGCGAGAAACTAAGAAGTAGTTTATTTTGAACTTAGGAACCCGGAACATATAACCTTGGAATGGGATGATGGGGGATTGGACGATAGGAAGGAAGTGGAGTTATCTGACTTGCATATTAATATCAATCCTTCCATCATTGAACATTAATTAACATTCCCTGCCATCAGTTCATATCTCGTACGAATGAGTTCTCAAGATTAAAACTGTATCTTTCCAAGTCCCCAAGCCTGTTTCAATTCCAATTCCAAACTTCCATACGGTAGACCTTTACTAGCCAGTACTCGACATCCAAACATCGAGATCTATTTTACATGCCTTTCATAGTACAATAACAACTTTTCATGAAGGAGTTCACCATGCATGGGGCAATGCGGTACGATACCCGTACTTGTATCTATCGTGCCCCGCATCAGCCTTCAAAAATGAGATAAGCACCAACCGATGGCTTGCTTTCCTGCTTTCCTGCGTTATCATTATCTCCTCCCCGCCAACTAAAATAAGAGATTTTGGCACTTTCCTTGGCACCTTTCACCAAGAAAGAAATCCCTCAAGCCGTTCTTCAATACTCCTATGAACTACAATCCTTGTTATGATCCTAGGAAAGATGAGATGAAAAGGAATACTAGAGGTACAGTATTTGAAAACCCCCATTATCCAATTGATGATTCAAAGAGAATCAGTCCATAGTCCATACATCATACAATCATTCATCCTTTGAACAAGCTCAGCTCGGGTCAAAATCCTGGTTGGCCACTCAAGAGTTTCTGAGAAAGAGGAAGATGATGGATGGATGATCCACCTTAAGAGATGACGAAATAGCCACAGTTGATCTCGACATTGAAATTCACGTGATTGATAGGTTAATCGTACCTTTCTTCTTTTAGCTTAGTACCTTCGGCCGCTCCGAATATCTGTTGTTAATGCTTTTGCCTTTCAACTTCATCCGGTCTTCACTACCTATGGGGAACACCTATGTCACTAACCGTTGATATCTGAAAATAATCCGGTTAGTCGAGACTCTAAAGTTAAGTTGCCACTTTCTCTGAGCTAGACTGGAGGTACCTACCTACCGGTAGTAGCTTGGGCGACGGGCGATTGAAAAGTTTCTGTCTAGCGATTTCATAGATACCTAGAGTTTCTAGCCAAGGTTGTTTAGATAATTTCACTGGATTTTCACAACGGATTATTTCTCAAATCAGCCCATGCAGTGATTCGGTTACACAGTAGTATGATGAGCCTCTAAAAATCAAAACTACTTGTCGAGGCATCTTCTCTCGAATACTCGTATGCCTTTCGCTTTTCCTTTTGATAGATATATTACTTGATTCTACCGTACCACTTTACAGTCTTTACTTAGATGTTTTGGTCCAAGCCAGTTCTTTTTAAACAATTTGTAAATACTACAGCTTTGAAATGTTTCTAAACATCGTGGCAAATTTTGCTCGCTCAAGGGAAGCCTTAGGCCTATGACAGTTCACTCGAACCGTTCTATTGACGACTGAAAGCTGTACTATTCTTTGTATTTCTATAATCTATCCTTTGGCGCTTTATATAGTACAATAGATTGTTTCGAGGGTATTGATTGCGAACTTGATTTGACACCCCTTCAAGTTGTACTATGACCTTGACACCCTTCAGCGAGGTTGTGATTCCGATGTTGGCAGCGCAATACTGTCTTGGAAGAGATCATCACAATCGTAATGAATTTCTGGATTGAGTAGTTTCGTAATGTTCTTCGAACTTTTGTTGAAATTCAGATTTTGAACAATCATGTTCGTCTTTTGCTAATTACTTATCGCTATTTCGATTGTTCGTTATATGTATGCGTGGAATATCTCCTTTATAAGAACTCCTCATGGGTAAAATCAACTACGATAGTAGTGGGGCTGGCTTTCTGTTCTTGTGTGGGTAGGGTGGTGAGAGGAAGGGAGGTTTGGATTGGGTTGAATTAGAGAGATGGCGAGATGAATACTTGTGGACCGATAGTTTGCGAGTGTACTCCATCCATCACGAAAATGACATCTCGATCAAACTTCTCGAGTAGGCCTAGTTAGTGAATAATTAGTGTAGATTCAAATATGCCAGATACATTCATGATCAAGACCGATCTCTATATTTACTACTACAGTACATACAAGTAGTGGGATGATATGTTATGATGTAATCAATACGCAAGAGTAAGATACAAGTCAAGGAGGCAAGAAGGCAAGAAGGCATGAGATGAGGATTGAGGATTTCTGTATATCGTTGAGTAATTAGTCGCTCTTTACGACCAGCTGTTGATTATGGAGCGAAGCGAGTCGAGGAGATCTCAGTATGGTATGGTGGTTTTTATATATATAAAAACGAATCAAATGACAGAGAGTATAATATCCAATCTAGATCTGAATATTACAAAACGTATATATGAATTTTCTGCCAGGAAATTGGCAAGTGGCAAATAGCCTCGTTGTCCTGGGCACGTGGAGAGTAATATATCTTAATCAAGTTGTACTTTGGAGTAAGTGTTTTATTGGGGTTTTTTTGTACGAGAGGCGAATTCTATCTCGTAGATTTGATATGAGTTCTAGACAAATAGTATGTAGTAAAAATTCTCGTTGTTGAGATAATGGTATAGTGTAGTATATATATATCACTGTTATTCTACTGAGTACTATTATTATTATGATTTTCAAGATACATCTCATCGATTCTCCACGTCGAATCTCTCAATTTTGATACATGGCATCCTCCGATAGTCTAAGGAAATTCGATAAGACAAACCTCCTGTGTCGAAGTTGATGTAATGAGACTCTTGATTCTGGATGGAATAAATATGTTGGAGTTTTCAGTCATCTTTTATAGATAATCTACTCGTAGCTAGGAATTACTATTATCTCTAAAAAAATTCGACTACTGAAAATTATACAGTAGTTTTAGTGTGAGGAATCGGAGCAATGCTATATGTACTCAAGGTTTGTTGAACCTACTCACCCGTCATGATGTATTGGTTTTCTTGTGCAATTTACTTTGGTGATATATGAATAAATAAAGATATTTTGAACATCCTCTTGGTCCGCTAGATAAACTAGAAAAGAGATTCTAGACTCAGTCAGGGGCTAGTACTTTGCTAATGTAACTGTCAATGGGCTTCAGCTTGCTTACTTGATTCTTATAGATAAATCATAAATTGTTCCTATTTTGTATACTTATTGGACCCGCACGTGTGGTATACCCATTACCTAGAAATCCTTCATCGAATCAAATGACAGTAAATATACAATTTGACAGCATCCGCTGATTTCAGTGAATTACTACACCTTGGAACTAAATATCTCTATCTATATTTAGTGTTGGGAGAGTAGCTACATACATCATGCATCAGCAACGATATTAATCAATTCTGGACTCATATTTGGATGCATCTGTGACTGATCATCCTTGATTGAAGAGAAACACCTTGATAACAATGAGACTTTTATACTCTCAGGTTATCGAAAGCCTCCCCCAACTACGAGTAGTAGACAAGATATCTGATTGGGTTTTTTGTGGAACTGAGACTGATTCACTTCCTTTCAAATTCGCTCTATCTACTCTCAAATATTTCTCCCGAAATTTAGGTTCTTATATAAAGCACATCCTCACTCAACCTATATGTTTTTTGTCAAACAATATACAACTACTCGAGTAATCAAGATAGTGTTGACATGCGCCGAAACACACTCCTCGACACCTAAGAGATTACTAGACCTCTTAACCAAATAATATCCAAGAATAAAAACATGGGCCTGATTTCTTAATTGCTATGTCAAGTCTGTATGAAATATAGAACAACAACAACAATAACAAATACACTGATGAGCGAAGATCACTGTAAAACTTTAGTCTCACTGTCACTTCAACTTTTCGTTACATTCATTCATTAAATTATCCCATAACATAAACTCATTACAACCACAAAAAAATAGATGAATCCCTAGATATCATGGGAAGAAATACACATTCCTACAATCCTTGCACTACCTGAGCAGATGTTGCGTATCGTTCTTTTGCACACAAGCACACAGACCAGAAATGAGAGGGAAAGAGACTCTATATATACCGTATACTTTTGAAGCATTCGGTTTTGCTTATCAAGGATTATTTGTCTTAATATGTTCCGGGCCATAGCTCAATATCCTCATTGTGAAATAAATGCACTTAGCTCATTGCTAAATGAGCTAGGTTTCAGAGTGAGCTAGCTCATTTCGGAATGAGCTAGCTTATACGATTCATGAGGGTATTCCGAAATGAGCTAGGGATATTTCGAAATGAGCTAAGGATATTCTGAAATATATTTAGTATTTATAAAAATATTTATTATATTCTAAGGATATTATATTATAAATTAATAATTGAAAAAGATTTCAATAGTTATAAAGATCTTAATATTATATTATAGATATAATTAATATTTTTATATAAGTTTATATATATTCTTTAGAAAAGATTTAATATTTTAATAATATAAATCTAATATTATATATATATATT